CCCCAAAACCCCAACCCCCAAACCCCAAACCCTAAACCCCTAAACCCTGAACCCCTAAACCCCAAAACCCCAAAACCCCAAAACCCCAAACCCTAAACCTTAAACCTTACTAAACCCTAGACCCTAGACCCTAAAACCCTAAAACCCTAAAACCCTAAACCCTAAACCCTAAACCCTAAACCCCTAAACCCCTAAACCCCTAAACCTTACTCTGGAACCCTAAGGCTCGAAATCTGAGCACCAAATGCTGAGCACGAACATCGACCCCTGAACCTGTCACCACCGAGTGCACCGGCAGAGGAACCAGCAACTACCCTGAACCCTAAACGGGTTTAGGGTTTAGGTTTAGGGTTTGGGTTTAGGGTTTTGGGTTTAGGGCAACTACCCTGAACCCCTAAGCCTAAACCCAAAAGAGCCCTAAACCTACACTCTAAACCCAAGATAGCCGTAAACCAACCTAAACCCAAAATAGCCCTAAACCAACCCAAACCCAAAATAGCCCTAAACCTACACCCTAAACCGCAATTTTGACTTGGTTCTCCATTCAAGAACAGGACGGACCTCGACCGAGCCGTAGCCGCCAGCGACTTTGCTGTGCTCCACGATGGATCGGAAGAGCTTCTTGCCCCACTTGCGGTATCTCCTTCGGGTTTAGGGTTCAGGGTTTAGGGTTTGTCTTACTGCGTGGTTTAGGTTTTTGAAGCATCGGAGGGACGGTGTACGTAGCTGGTAAACTCGTGTAAGCCTTGATATTAGTGGGATGATCTTAACTTATCTAGGGCAGAAGTCACCTATGCCTCTATGGCAGGTTCTAAGTCTTACACTAAAACCAGAGCCGCGTATGCACTATGAAGCATATAAGCCGTTTTGGCGTTCAGTTGGCTCTAAACCCTAAACCCTAAATCCTAAATCCTACACCGCACTAAACCCACTCCCAATCCCTACACTTAGACGGCAACGAACGCCAAGCCACGTCTGCCCCGTCATCCGGTACAGGTAGAAGAGGGACTCTGCTGTCTCCGGCCGAAGGTACCTGTGAGTTTTAGGACTTTGGGTTCAGGGTTTGGGATTTAGGGTTTAGGGTTTAGGGTTTAGGGCTTAGGGCTTGAGCATTTTAGGGTGTAGGATGGTTTTGGGTTTGGTGCTTTAGTAGGACGGCAAAGGGGTTTAGTGCAATGCCCAGGTGCGAATGCTGCGCCCCGCGGGGAATCGTCTTCTCGCCACTTTTCATCTTGTCGAAAAAAACCTGAGCTCACCCGTCTCGGGCTTAAGGTTTACCTGTAGCCGGAAAGACCTACCTTTTCAGGGTTCCTTATTGTGGTATGTATTGTATTGTTCCTCAAAAAAGGTACATCGTTTCGGTTACAGGGGTGTTATTTTCAAACACCCGTTTCAACAGGTTAAGGTTTAGGCTTAAGGACTTAAGTTTGAGGGCTTGGGGCTTGCGCAGATCTGTTTATAAAGGATTTGAAGAGAACTTTAGGGCTTTGTAGAATATAATAAAGTTTTCGGGTTTTCGCCTAAACCCTAAGAATTAAACCCAAAACCCGAAAGAGGTTGTGGCTCAGGTCCTTCTTTGAAGGCTTAGGGGGTGTAGGGCCTGAAGCCGCAAGGCTCGGCGTCGGTGCTGATGTCTGCTTCTTGGGTGCAGTACCCAGAGACTCCAATATTCCTTAATTAAGGAATATTCCTTAAATCATATTACGGATCCTACTATAATTTAAGGAATATTCCTTAATTAAGGGATATCGGAACCCTAAACCCTAAACCCTAAACCCTTAAATTAAGGGATATTGGAGTCTCTGGCTTCTTG